GGGGGAGGGGGGAGGTGAGAAGGGGGAAGGAGTAAAGCACTCCCTAACAAAGGTGACTCCATACCCAGGGCTCGAACCTGAGACCGGTGGTTAAGGATTAGCAATATATATTTATCACTTCACCACAACCTTATCAGTACCAATGTTTTAAAAGGCGGGGGCGTGAGGCGAGGCGTTTTACCTCTGACGAGGCGAGGCGTAAGCCCTGAGACATGGGGCGTAAGTCCCACGAATCTTTAAATTTTATTAATTTCAAGAATTTTAAGATAGTATAAAATAAAAAATAATTATAAAAATTACGTTAAAATTACAAAATTATACAAATAATATATTTAAAAATATTTATAAATTATAATTCAACTATGAATAATACGAAAAGTATGACATATATCATAATATGCAAATTATCTGCAACGTCGTTACAACTCAAACATCAAAAGTAATGTATTCGATACGAAATCTTATATGTATCTCTTAAGGAGTAATGATTCTTTAAAGAATTTCGATATTATAATTCGATATTTTCTTAAAATACTCCTTTTATTTAATATGCTTGTATTTGAAAGAGAAATTTATATAAAAACATAATTCACAATTTAAATGTGATCTCAAGCGTCGTTCATTTTTAAGTTTCAACAAGTTCATTAAAGTGACACATAATTCACCATACAATACCATGATAACATAATTATTGTAAATAGTTACTAATACTGAGCTATTAAATTAATGAGTATTGTATCTCATAAACATGGAAAAAAAATATTTAGAAAATAATTATAAAAAAATTATGGACTAGTATATAGTAAGACATAACAAAAGTTAATAAATAAATACTTTTTAAATGAAAGATTTATTTAAATTAACTATCATAGCAGTCTTAGCGGATAACGTGCTATAATTTTTACTTTAATTATGACATAAAATACTCTCAACTAATAATTTAAAATTAGAAAAGAGTAATTTGAATAGTCAACGATTCATTAAGAAAATTTGAGGATTTACAAGGTTAGTTACATACAATTGCATAAAGTTCTATTAGGCGAGCCCAGTAGGCTGGGCGTTGGGCGTGTCCGGGGCGTAAGACCATGGTCGAGGTGTAAGTCTTACGGAACTAAGCCCCACACATAAGCCCAGGGGCGTTTTACGAGTGCTCCGCCCCGGAGCGAGCCCCGGGCGAGTCCCAATTCTGCCTTTTAAAACAGAGATCAGTACACATCCTCCCAAATTTATACCACCTTTACTTATGCTGCAAATTAAAATACAACTAAATGAAGCAGAAAATAATATTTCCTTTGTCCCAAAAAGAATAGATACAGTTTAGATTTCGGAAGTCAAATTTCTTATTATTGACCATGAATTCGGACACAGAATCTTTAATTTTATTTTATTTTTCATATAAATAAAATTTACGTATTTAGAAACTATATAAAAAGTATTATAAGTCACAATAATTTACACTTCAAAATATCTAAAAGACATAAAATTGGGGTCAAAAGAGCAGCTCATTTGACTCTCGAAATTCAAATTGATTTTTTGGGGTTGGGGGTGGGGGTGGGGTGGAGGACTATCAAATTTCGTACTATAATTATTTTTTAATATTAATAGAGAACAAAACGCAATGTTGATTTCTATATGATAAGTGACGGTTCATCTTTTCTTACTGTCTCTATTCAAGAGTAACAATATATATTATGAAGTAGTAGCAACAAGGCACTTTACTAAAAACATTAATAAATAAATATTTACACCAAAAAACAAAAATGATAATGCTATAGTAGATTTTCTTTATATAACTACTAGTTTAAAAGTTTTGATAAGCAGCTAGACTTTGTAGTTCACCAATATAGGATTTCATTCAACATTGATAATAACATGGATACATTCTTGATAAATTGCTGCAAAAATTGCCCTTTAACTTGACTACAAAGATTTAACATGTCCCTTGAGAGTCTAATATTCCTCTAACTTGCAACATGATTATTGAGAGAATAAGTTATAATTTTCATGGCTCATGTGTATATTTTGCAACTTCAGCGCGACGTTTAGCTTGTTCCGCAATCTCATTCAATTCTCTGTAGTTCTTGTCATGGAATAAGCCATTTCTTTCAGCAGTCTGCAGACCGTGTAGTGTACGTTGCGCCACTGCCCATTGTGCTTCCCTCTCACCTTTTCCATAATCCTTCTTGGTTGTGAAAGCAGTCTAATAGATTCAAGAAACAAAAATAAGTAGAGTATTATTAATTCAAGAATGGAATTTGAAAAAAGTATTAAGGTTCTAGCCCTGGAAACAGCCTCGAAGGGGAGCCAGGAGGTCAAGGGTTCGAGCCGTGGAAACAGCTCTCTTGCAGAAATACAGGGAGCTTAGTGCATCGGGCTGCACTTTACTATGGTTCTACAAAATGTGATAGCAATAATCTATGTTTGTTTACCTTATTTTGGATCATTGAATTCCAGGCCTCACCGCTCAACGCGTAACGACTGATGAATTTGAGAATATCAAGAGGGATATAGGTGATAATTGTGTAGATCCAGATGATTGCTGCCCATCCCCAACCAATTCCATGGATCCTAGCAAAGTTCCAGTTGGCGTAGACAGTGATTAGTGTAGCCACCTGAGTTCATCGTTCGAGCAGAAAAACAAGATCTTGATTAGTAAGAATGTATATAGAGTTGTGAAAATGAAAATGTTCATTCAGGTTAGCTTTTTTCAAGACTTACAAATTGGGCTAAGAGGAAAGCAGTGACAAGCAAGAAACCCGGGCGTTCCAAAAATGACCAGCTTCTTGATCTTGTCACAAAGATGAGAGCTTGACTGATGATGCTCACTTGAAGGTATAGAGCAGCTGTAAGCTCATAGGGGTTATCCCTGATCGATTTAACGTGGAATTTCTCCTGCATATGAGTGATAACTTTGTTTATCGAGTTCCAATAGTACGTTTTATTTGTGTTCAGACAGAGGAAAATTGTAGGGGAACCTTGGAGCAACGGTAAAATTGTCTCCGTGTGACCTATAGGTCACGGGTTCGAGCCGTGGAAGCAACCATTAATACTTGCATTAGGATAGGCTGTCCACATCACATCCCTTGGGGTGCGGCCCTTCCCTGGACCATGTGGGACGCCTTATGCAGGAATATTGAAAGGGAAAGAACTTACTGTAAAGAAGTCAGTGTCAGCTGCAAGATAGAAGAACACCACAGACATAATGGCTTGATAGGTTCCAAGGACGATTCCAGTGGCAAAAATTTCATTGAGCTTCCACGAGTCGGGCAGAGGGGATGGCTTCACCCTGTCCTTAGAGATGGTCATGATGGTTCCGTCATTGAGGATGGCAATGATGAGGACCATGAAAGGAGGGAAGTCGAATTCCCAAATGAGTGCAATGAGCATGAATCCCATCACGACACGGATTGTAATTGAAACTGCATAGATAGTGTAGTTCTTCATCCTCTGGAAGATGGCTCTGCTTGTCAACACAGCACTCACAATAACACCAAGACCTGGTTCAGTCAAAACTATATCAGATGCGCTCCTGGCTGCGTCTGTTGCATCGTCAACTGCAATACCAATGTCTGCTTTCTTCAATGCTGGTGCATCATTGACACCATCTCCAGTCATACCACAGATGTGCTTTCTTTCTTGCAGCTTCTTCACAATCTCATATTTGTGTTCTTCAAATATTCAAATCCTAGTGTTAGTTCAAATACTAATATCCTTTTTTAACTGTAATTTAGTAGTAATATTTACCTGGGAAGACTCCTGCAAAGCCATCAGCCTGCTCAATGAGCTCCTCAACAGGAATTGAAGCAATGGACTCATCCTTATGGCCCCCGAGAAGAGCTGAAGATGGATACATGTTGGTTCCCATACCAAGCCTACGGCCAGTTTCCTTACCAATAGCGAGCTGGTCACCCGTGATCATCTTAACATTAACACCAAGCTCGAGAGCTTTGCGAATTGTCTCTGCACTGTCATGTCTTGGTGGATCAAAGAGAGGTAAAAGCCCGACGAATTCCCAAGGTGAACCAGCACTGTCCTTGTTTTTTTCTGGCACAGTCTGCATAAATTATCATGCAATTGTATTTAGTCCACTTCAACCAAGGACACATTACACTAACTCAAACAAAGTTATCTAATATTATGTTGGCTTGCCTGTCTTGCAACTCCCAAAGAACGAAGACCACGGTTGGCAAAGTTGTCGATGATTTCATGAGCTTTCTTTAAAACATCTCCCTTGAGATCACAAAGTTCAATAATCTGGCAAAAGATTTGATAGATTAGAAGCTAAAGTTTGAATATATATACTAAAATGAAGGACAAAAGAAACTCTCTTACTTGCTCAGGAGCACCTTTGCTAGCCCTGTGCCAGTTTCCACTGTCATCAATATATGTGATTGCAGTGCGCTTATCGACTGGATTGAAAGGAAAGAAATGAACCTCTTGGATGCCTTCTCTTGCCTGCAAATATCAGACGAAGTATTTAAGCTCATTTGCAATTACTTCACTGAAGGGGAGCCTTGGCGTAATTAGTAAAGTTGCTGCCATATGACCAGGAGGTCACGGGTTCAAGCCGTGAAAACAGCCTCTTGCAGAAATGCAGGATAAGGCTGCGTACAATAGACCCTTGTGGTCCGGCCCTTCCCCGGACCCTGCGCATAGCGGGAGCTTAGTGCACCGGGCTGTCCCTTTTTTTGCAATTACTTCACTGAGTAAAAAAAATCTAATGTTCTACTGAGAAAACATAAAGAAAAAAACAATAGTACTACTATTTCACATTACCTCTTTGGGATCATTCAGCATATTAACAATACAAGCATCAATAGCATCCTGATTCTCCACCCTGGAAGCTCTAGCAGCAAGTAACATAACCGTATCCTTGTCTGCATTCTTAGGGAATACCTGCAACCACAAAGAAACGACGTTATGAACCTCATCTTTCGTCATATATGATCATGCTAACACTCTCCTCGATAATGTATACCAACCTCAATCAAGTTTTTGTCGACAGTAAGCTTGTTTAAGGTGAGGGTACCGGTCTTGTCACTGCAGAGGACATCCATACCAGCCATTTCCTCGATAGCAGTCATCCGCTTGGTGATGGCACCTTGTTGGGAAAGCCTATGAGATCCAATAGCCATGGTAACAGACAAGACTGTTGGCATGGCGATTGGGATACCTCCAATAAGCAACACCAACAAATTGTCAATTCCATCTCTATATTTTCGCTTTTGAATTGGCCACATCACCAATATCTCAATAACTATTCCAACAACAATAGAGCAGATACAGAAGTTCCCAATAGAAGTCAACACCTGATCATATTGATATAACACAACAAATTTTAGATCCCAATCGTATAATGTATTCAACTTTTAGATTCTAAATCACTAGTTTTTTTCACCTTTTGGAAATGACCAACTTGGTTTGTGCTATCAACAAGATGTGCAGCCTTTCCAAAGAAGGTATGAACACCAGTAGCAATAACAACTGCCTCGATTTCGCCTTGCTTGACAGTGGAACCAGAGAAAACTTGTTCACCAGGTTGCTTTGTGACTGGTAAGGACTCACCAGTGAGTGCAGCCTGATCAATCTTAAGGGGATCACCCTCGAGAAGACGAGCATCGGCTGGGATAATATCTCCCAACTTAACACTAATCAGATCACCTGGAACCAAGATTGAAGCTTCCTCCTCCGACCATTTTCCATCTCTCAAAATCTGAGAACCACATTCTCAAGATTATCATCCATTGCACATTGAGAAATAATCACCAAATGTAAAGAATTTTTACACCATCGGTTAAAAAGTGTAATATAACATGTCGTTGCAAGCAGTGGCGAAGCCAAAAATTCAATAAGGATGTTCAGAATTCGTACACCCTTCGCCAGTGGGCTATGCAAGGGTGTTCAAAGTCTATTTTTTTATCGATAACAAGTAATTTTTTTATCCTATACACAGTATAATTTTTCGGCGAAGGGTGTTCAGTTGACCATCCTTGGCCACGCATAGCTTTGCCCCAGGTTGCAAGTAAGTTATCTTATTTTTCAGGTTACAAAACTCACTTTTTATAAACAGTTGGTTACCGATATTTATCTAGTAGGTGATTTGATAGTGTAACAATTCTTTTATACCGTCAGTGTATAGACGTTAAACTCATTACGACAAATCATGAAGAGTCAAGGGATACCTTAGTTTTGGGAGCAAGATTAGCCATAAGGGCAGCTGCAGCATTTCCAGCATTGTTTTCTTCAATGAAACTGATAGTAGAGTTGATAATAAGCAAGACCACAATACCTACAAAGTCTGGCCAATCCGGTGGTTTTCCCTGCATTGTTTCAAAATCTCATCTTTAATAATTATTTTTCATTTGTCATAAGCAAGAAAAATAGAAGGATTAAGGTGTATTTGATATGACGAAAAATATTTTTCGGAAAAATAAGAAAATATTTCTCACTTTTAGATGAAAGTTATCTTCCTTCACAGTTATCTCAAAGCTTAACATCATATCACGACTCTAACCAACAGTTAGACATTATTATTAATCTTTAATATTCAAGAGTTTCATCAAACACTATATGGTTTGCCGAAATTATTCTGAATCTTTAATAAATATATTTTTTTTACAAAAGTATATTTTTAAAAATAAGTCATTCTAAAAATTGACTTTCATCATAACAAGCACAACTGGAAAAAAAAAAAAAAAGGGGGGGGGGGGGGGGGGGAGGGGGGTGGTTATATTTTTAATCTTTTATTACCCCTCCATTTGCCAAGGCAATGGACATGATAGCAGCAGCTTCCATGACCCATGAGAGAGGATTCCACATGAACCCCAAGAATTTAAGGACCTTATTTTCCTGTAATAAATAACAAAAAAAAAAAAATTAGAGCTTATTTAACCTTTTTTTTTTAAAATTATAAAATGAAGTTTAGCAAACAGTGAAAAATAAAAATCATATATACCTTTTTCTCTTCAAGTTTGTTATGGCCAAAAATTTGAAGTCTATTTTGGCCTTCTTCATTTGTCAAACCCTCTCTGCTACATTTCAGGATCTGGAAAACTTCTTCCACCGGAATATTTTCCTGCATGGGCATGCAATATCATTTTTCACCTTTCAAATCAAAAAACGAAAAAAGAAAAAGAAAAATACATCTATTCTTTTGTAGTTCCATTTTGCATTCAACATTATTTTCAATGGTCAGTGTAAAAACATTTTTTGATATGCTTAGTGATTGTGCATGCAAAATTTGGTCTGGTTATACATGCGCATTACATGCAGTGTCGGATCCAGGAATTATAACGAAATGATTCAGAAAATTATAAGAATGTCACACTATGGATTCGAACATAGGATTCAAAGCCTATGACTAAATTAAAATTTGAATCATCTTTCATATTGCACGGAAAGCTTCCCTTATGTTAATGGTATGTAAACTTTATATTTCTACAAAAAAAAGTTGTTTTCACCCTATTATCCTACTATATGCAGAGGTGAATCCAAGATTCAGATAATGAATTCAAAATGAGTATGAATTTATATCTTACTAAAAATATATAAATATATATACATTTTAAAATACTTTCTATATATGTATGCATAATTCGAGACAAAAATATTAGATTCAGTTGAATCAGCAAAACCCGTCCTGAGTCCACCCAAACCAAATGCAATGCACTTAGAGAAATGTGAGAGGGGAGAATTTACTTACAAGATCAACTTGCTCATTTCTAATATCTTCTAAGGATAAATTGGACGCCATGATGATTTATACACAAGAAAAAGAGGGACTAAGACAAGCAATTAATAAAAGTGAGATTTCAACAAGGAAGAAGGAAAGAATGAAGAGAAATCTATTTTAATAGAGAAATCACTCAATCTTCTCCCTCATTTAGGCTCACTCTCTTTTGGACACTCTTAATTCAACACAATTCCTCTTTCTCACTCCCTCTTTTGATTAATCAACCCATATAATATGTTAACTAATGCTAATGAGTTTTTGTAAGAGGGGTTGGCTCGCTAATTGACCCCTTAATCACCCGTTTATATCTAAACACCCTTGGTAATCCTATAAACAAGGAGAAGCCATGAGAATTATTGCAACAAATTCTCTCCATTAGTTTCTTTGGAGAATTGGCATTTTGTCCGAATTTCTTGTTTTGCTTGTCCTAAAAAGGTGTCACACCATAAAACTTACATCTTTCTCTCTCTTTCGTTCTCTTCTATTTTTACTATCTTTACAACCATAAATTTAACTTCTCTTTTATAATAATATTGTAGGAGACTCCAAAAAATTAGCGGCTAAAATCAAATTTTAATAAGAAGGGTTATACTTTTTTTATTAGTATATATACGGGTGAAAATCATTTACCCTTCCCAACTTTGTGTTAAAAATCAAACTCCCCCCTCAACTTTGAACAATAATCATTCTCCCCCCTTTATCCTACACAATACCTTTTTTGCCCTTGAATTTTTAATTTCCTCCTCAATTCAATACTTTTTTATTATATGATATTTTTTTTTATAGTTTTAGCTATAACTTAAATTATGCAATACCTATTATAAATTGTAATTAGAGTTCATTAAAATTATAAGTAGAATAAGTAATTAGAGTCAATCAAAACTTATCTTTATGTTTATGTACTCATACTATGCTTCTGCACTTGATTGTGCAGGCTTTGAGGCAGGTGCATCTGGCCATCAGTCCGGCGNGGATTGAACTTGTGAGCTAAGATAACTTGGGGTGTTTTTCAATCCTCTTATATGAAAAACTCGGATTGAACTTGTGAGCTAAGAAATTAATGAACTCTATTCTCTTAGCTCACAAATTTTAATTTCTTAGCTCACAAGTTCAATCCGAGTTTTTCACATAAAAGGATTGAAAAACACCCCAAGTTATCATAGCTCACAAGTTCAATTCGAAATAAAAAAATAAAAAAAAAAGGTATTTTTCAATCCTCTTGTGATGACCCAAAAGGTCATCACTTGTTTTTAAATTTAATTCTGTGCTTCCGAGGCCTTGAAAACCTCTTTTAGCCTCGCCTCAATTTGCGTGCGCAGTCCGGGCGCATAGCCGGAAAGCTTAAATATAAAAAATTTGTGAAAAATGGTAAAATTTGGTTATAAAATGAGTTATTTTGACTTCGGTCAACGTTTTGGGTAAACGGACCTGGACCCGTGATTTGACGATCCCGGAGGGTCCGTAGGAAAATATGAAACTTGGGCGTATGCCCGGAATCAAATTCCGAGGTCCCAAGCCCGAGAAATGAATTTTTGAAAGAAATTATTTTCTGAAATTGTTTAAGAAAATTTGAAATGAAATTTGATTAGAACATGTTAGTATCGGGCCCGTATTTTGGTTCCGGCGCCCGGTACAGGTCTTATATATGATTTGAGATGTTTCTGTGAAACTTGGTGAAAAACGAACGTCGTTTGACGTGATTCGGACCTAAAGTTGATGTTTTATGAAGTTTGAGAAAAATCCTTTGATTTTGAGGTTTAATTCGTTGTTATTGAGGTTATGACTACAGCACCGGTGTTGGTTTTGCCCACAGGTTCAGGGCCTTATACAGTTTATTGTGATGCTTCTCGTATTGGACTTAGTGCAGTATCGATGCAGGATGGCAAGGTCGTTGCCTATGCTTCGCGGCAGTTGAAGATTCATGAGAAGAACTATCCGGTTCATGATTTGGAGTTGGCAGCCATTGTCCACGCATTGAAGATTTGGAGGCATTATATGTACGGCATGGCGTGTGAGGTGTTCACGGATCACAAGAGTCTTCAGTATTTGTTCAAGCAAAAGGAGTTGAATTTGAGGCAGAGAAGGTGGTTGGAGTTGTTGAAGGATTATGATATCACCATCTTATATCATCCGAGAAAGGCCAATGTGGTGGCCAATGCTTTGAGTAGAAGTCAGCCAGTATGGGCAGTCTTGCTTATATTCCGGTCGGTGAGAGACCGCTTGCTTTGGATGTTCAGGCTTTGGCAAATCAGTTCGTGAGGCTGGATGTTTCTGAGCCCAGTCGTGTGTTAGCTTGCACTGTCGCTCGTTCTTCATTATTGGAGCGTATCCGGGATCGGCAGTATGATGATCCCCATTTGTGTGTCCTTAGAGACACGGTGCAGCGCGGAGGTGCCAAGCAAGTTACCATAGGTGATGATGGAGTTTTGAGATTGCAGGGTCGAGTTTGTGTGCCTAATGTGGATGGGCTCCGAGAGTTGATTTTAGAGGAGGCCCATAGCTCCCGGTCCTCTATTCATCCGGGCGCCGCAAAGATGTATCAGGATTTGCGGCAGCATTATTGGTGGCGGAGAATGAAGAAGGATATCGTAGCATATGTGGCTCGTTGTTTGAATTGTCAGCAGGTTAAGTATGAGCATCAGAGGCCTGGTGGTTTATTTCAGAGGATTGAGCTTCCCGAGTGTAAGTGGGAGCGGATCACTATGGATTTTGTTGTTGGACTCCCGCAGACTCGGAAGAAGTTCGACGCCCTATGGGTCATTGTTGATAGGCTGACCAAGTCAGCACATTTCATTCCTGTGGCAGTCACCTATTCTTCTGAGAGGCTAGCTGAGATCTATATCCGGGAGATTGTTCGCCTTCATGGTGTGCCCGTGTCTATCATTTCGGATCGAGGTACGCAGTTTACCTCGCGCTTCTGGAGAGCAGTTCAGCGAGAGTTGGGCACACGGGTTGAGTCGAGCACAGCATTTCATCCCCAGACGGACGGGCAGTCCGAGCGGACTATTCAGATTTTGGAGGATATGCTTCGAGCTTGTGTTATTGACTATGGAGGCTCGTGGGATCAATTTTTGCCTTTGGCGGAGTTCGCCTACAACAACAGCTACCAGTCGAGTATCCAGATGGCTCCTTATGAGGCCTTGTATGGTAGGCGGTGTCGGTCTCCGGATGGATGGTTTGAGCCGGGGAAGGCTCGGTTGTTGGGTACGGATCTGGTTCAGGATGCCTTGGACAAGGTCAGGATCATTCAGGATAGGCTTCGTTCAGCTCAGTCCAGGCAAAAGAGTTATGCCGACCGCAAGGTTCGAGATTTGGCTTTCATGGTCGGTGAGCGGGTATTGCTTCGAGTGTCGCCTATGAAGGGCGTGATGAGATTTGGGAAGAAGGGAAAGTTTAGCCCTAGGTACATTGGTCCGTTTGAGATTCTTGATCGAGTGGGAGAGGTGGCTTATAAACTTGCATTGCCGCCGAGCTTATCAGTCGTGCATTCAGTGTTTCATGTGTCCATGCTTTGGAGGTATCACGGGGATCCATCCCACGTATTAGATTGCAGCACTGTCCAGTTGGACAAGGACTTGTCTTATGAGGAGGAGCCAGTAGCTATTTTAGACCGGCAGGTTCGTCAGTTGAGGTCGAAGAGTTTCCCTTCTGTTCGTGTCCAGTGGAGAGGTCAGCCCCCTGAGGCATCGACCTGGGAGTCCGAGTCCGATGCGGAGCCGTTATCCCCATCTTTTTCCCGACTCAAGTACTTCCTTCTTATGTCCGTTCGAGGACGAACGGTTGTTTTAGAGGTGGAGAATGTGATGTCATCACTTGTTTTTAAATTTAATTCTGTGCTTCCGAGGCCTTGAAAACCTCTTTTAGCCCCGCCTCGATTTGCATGCGCAGTCGGGGCGTAGCCGGAAAGCTTAAATATAAAAAATCTGTGAAAAATGGTAAATTTTGGTCATAAAATGAGTTATTTTGACTTCGGTCAATGTTTTGGGTAAACGGACCCGGACCCATGATTTGACGGTCCCGGAGGGTCTGTAGGAAAATATGGGACTTGGGCGTATGCCCGGAATCGAATTCCGAGGTCCCAAGCCCGAGAAATGAATTTTTGAAAGAAATTGTTTTTTGAAATTCTTTAAGGAAATTTAAAATGAAATTCGATTAGAACATGTTAGTATCGGGCCCGTATTTTGGTTCCGGCGCCCGGTACAGGTCTTATATATGATTTAAGATGTTTCTGTGAAATTTGGTGAAAAACGGACGTCGTTTGACGTGATTCGGACCTAAATTGCTAAGTTGATGTTTTATGAAGTTTGAGAAAAATCCTTTGATTTTGAGGTTTAATTCGTTGTTATTGAGGTTATTTTACTGATTTGATCGCACGGATAAGTTCGTATGATGTTAAGTTAGTACGTGTGTTTGGTTAGGAGCCCCGAGGGCTCGGGTGTGTTTCGGGAAGTTTTAGACTTAAGAAAAATTGCAGAAAACACTGCTGTTGCACCAGTTCTGGTGTAACCGCACCTGCGGTCCTTTGGCCGCAGATGCGAACACGCAGGTGCGCACAGTGGGTCGCAGATGCTGTCTTGCTTCGCAGATGCGGATAATTTTCCGTAGATGCGGTTCCGCAGAAGCGGGCCTTTTCTCGCAGGTGCGGCCCCAGCGGGGCCTAGCCATTTCCGCAGAAGTGCCCACTTTTCCGAAGGTGCGGTGGCGCAGATGTGACCCCTGAACCGCAGATGCGAAAGTCGGGCAGTGAGTCTTTTTAAAAACATAACTTCAGTGCTTTTCTTTCAAACTGTTGTATGTGGTAATCTTAGTAGTCCGTGAATGATGTGACACCAGTTTCTGGGTAGAGACATATGTGGATTTTCTTGTCATTTTGGTTCATTTTGTCTAAGTCTTCCGCTTAAATCTCATATTCCGCTGTTATTTAAATGTTTATCACTTGTTATTGTATGTCGTAAAAAGGATTAAAACAAAAGAGTTAAGAATTTATGACTTCGTGGCTTTCCTAGCTTCTACGAGTAGGCGCCATCACGACTCTCGAGGGTGGAAAATCCGGATCGTGACACCTCTTATATGAATTTTTAGCTCCGTCGCTAAGAAAATATAACTTAAATGTATATTTAATATGCATTACATTAAATAAGAATCATAAAGATAAGGTAATTTTAATTGACTCTGATTACTTATTCTACTTATAATTTTAATGAACTCTAATTACAGTTTATAATAGATATTACATAATTTAAGTTATAGCTAAAACCATAAAAAAT